CGGCCCCGGTGGGCCCAGCGTTGGGCAGGTGCCCAAGCAGCATGCCAAGTGGCACCAGAGGGCCCCAGGCCTGCCAGTGCCCTCCGCTCCTGCCTCCCCGCCCACGCACAGACCCTGCTGCTCCACGCGGTGCCCTCAGCAGCACTGGGGGGGCTTGTTCAAAATGCAGACTCCCAGGCCCCACCCAGGACTTCGAGCCAACACCGCACTTGACATCCACCCCCAGGTGACCCCCACACACTGACCACGGGCGGCGGGGGCCCAGAATGCCACTTGGGTCAATATACATAAGTATTTCCCAATCTTTCACCTGTTAGGTATTTTAACACATATTTGAAAGCATAACTAGAACAGGTGACTTGGGAGTCCAAGGATATTGTTTCTCCAGGTAATTCTGATAAGAAAGGTGAATCAGTTTAACATGGACTTAGAGGAAAGTACGGAGGCAAGACGCACACCCCCTGCCAAAGACAAGCCGAGGAGACAGAGGGGACAGAAAGGGTACAAAACAGAGCCACGCCAGAGAGGGGGGCGGGGGAGTCCGAACGTCACATAGATACTCATCCAAACAAAGCTGGTCGGGCAGAACAGCAGACAAAGTGGAATTTAAGGCAAAGAAGAAATAAAAAGGATCACACACACAGGGTGGAATTTTCTGAGTCTATTATTGTCCCTGGCCAGTCTAGTATGTCCCCTAAGCATGAGCATCGTTCCCAACTAGCCTTCCAATGGGGGCCGTATCAACATCTACATTTGCCGATTCCGTAAGCAGAAAGAAAAAGGAATCTTTCTGTAGTTTAGTTTCGAAGCCCATATTCTCCCCCACACAGCAGCACCCACACAGCAGAACTGGTGTCTGGCGATGGAGGGTGAGCTCTGCGCCCGGGAAGCAGAAAGCCCCCCCGCGGGAAGGGGCCTCCCCGTCACCAGCCTCAGGCAGCGACGCAGTGAGCGGGCCGCGGGCCGAGCAGGAAGGTCTGGCTGCCCCCGCCCCGTGGTGACTCTGGGCCGCGCGCTGAATCCCGCGCACAGCCCGTCCTCCTCCGCCGCCCGCCGGCTGCTCAGGCCCCCACAGCTCCTCCCACAACCCGGCCGAGGGTCCCAATGCCCCTCGGTGTCACACGAAGTTTTCTGTAAAAGCTCTTTCCTGGAATTAACAGCAGGCATCAATTTCCAGTGAAATCTCTGCTATATTTTCCCTGAACAAAGAATGGAAGAAAAATTTTCTTTAAAATTTAGTAAAAACGTAATGAAATTGTCAATAAAAATTCCCTGTATTTACAATTGAATGACTAATTCATGCCAGGCCCTCTGCTGGAGACTTCCGGGGGGGGGGGGGGGTCCTCTGATCTAACTTTCAAAAACAATCCATTTTGGAAGCATCGTTGTCCCTGTCTTACTAGCAATCAGCCTGAGCCCCGAGGTCCGACGACTTGCCGAACGCCACGAACCAGAGCCCGCCTGCTTCAGACCCGGACTCATAGCCCGCAGAGGGGGCCCGGACGCAGTCCTGGTATTCATCATCCATGTGACCGAGACTGAAAATAATGATTTCTCATTAACCAGGAGGATCATCTAGGATCTGTACTAAAGACTTTAGAAAAAAGCTCACATTACGATTAATATGAGCAGCAATGTTAGACTCACTATTTCTGGACACATTGTGGAAAAATCCTTACTCATAGTTACAGCAATGCACCCAGTGCACCCAGCCAAGACTTAAATGCAGGATCATTAAAACGCGGGATCCAGGTGACGTTACCCCCGATGGGCTGGCTCCTGGCTGGCAGGCTTTGCTGATGCAGCTGGGCTTCAGAAGCACTTTTGATTTATAGTTTCAAATTAAAATGACCAAAAAGTTTTAAAAGCAGGAAGCCCTATGCATCCCCCTGTCACCATCTCAGAAGGCTGCCTGTCATGTTTGCCTGAGGGGCTGGGACCTAGGCATGGATAAAAATACCAGCTTAACATGGAAAAATCACCAAACTCTATGATATTTTAAAGTCATGACGTTAAAACAGCTAAAATCCCTTTGGTTTCTACAGCCAACTGCAGAAAGAGTGAGTGGAAGGCAAGGCAGAGCGGACATTTTTAGAGCGCCTTCTTTCTATTTGCTTCCCCGCCAGAGCCGCATCCTATTTACCAGTGTCTGTACACATGCAGAAAAATGAAAACAGACCGTTCTTGCTGCAGGCCAGAAATGAGATTTCCTTTTCTCTGGCACCACATAGCTCCTAGAGGCCTGTTCCTAATGGAGACGATCACTCAGCAATGGGTTTAGTGTTTATTGTTTTTGTTCTAAAGCTTTCACCAAAAACCCCTGTGAAAGAATATGGGTATCTTTTAAATTCTTCAAGGATTTTTTCAAGGGGCAAATCCATACCAGGCAACTCCAAGCCAGATCAGTCATTATGAATGGGTTTTTTTCCAATGTTGTTTATTGTGGTAAAATGCACATAACGTACAATTTACCATCTTAATCATTTATAAATGCCATTATTAATATTTTTAATAAAAATAGGCAGCCTCAGGAATATAAAAAAATCCTTCAAAACATTTCTTCTTGTTCGGCGTTCCTGCAAGTATTTCTGCTGTCCCAGGAGCACGTTGAAGGCCCCATGCTTCACCCTCAGCACAAAGGTTTGCCCAACGCAGCCGCCATGGAGCTAAACACAGTTCAGGTGTGTATCTGGTTATCTGAGAACCTTTCTCAGAGGAGGTGTGGCTTAGATAAATCATCTCCACAGATCATTTTTCAAAGTCTTACTTTATCCTCACATTGACCAAATCTTTTGCTAAAATATCATCCAAAAAAGCCAAAAGGCTCCTAGTTTCACTCCTTTTCTTGAAGAATGAGGGTGGTCAGGACCAGGGCAGGCAGAGAATGAAGGAGGGGCATCAAGACTCCGAAATGAGCACAAAGAATCAGCGGCTGAATCTTTGAATGACCTTGAGTTGACACACTGGAGACTCAAGCCTATAATTTTCAACTGTAAAACACTGGTTCATGAAGATGATAGTGCTAAAAACAAAATAAAGGACTGAAAATGCCCCCGCTTCTTCAGGTTCTGTTCAGAGATTTTACCAAAAATTCCTATGTATATTTCACTGAGGCTTTGTCTTACCTGAGGGCTTCAGCCCTGGGCAGGTTCACTGCGGAGTCAGTGAGACTGAGTGTGGGTAAAGCGAAGGTGCTTGTGGCCAGGACCCTCCCCCGGCCCTGGTCGGCTGGCTCACTGCACACGTCTGGGCAATACGTTGTTACTGACTCTATAAAGAGCTCCACCCAGTGCTCTGGGCAACATGGTGGCCCAGCTGCAAGGCTGCAGGAGAGCAGAGATGGGGCTGGAGTGGTGGCAGCGCCGAGGACAGAGACTGAGACGGCTGTGCGGGCAGAGGAGCCCAGAGGCAGAGACGGGCTTGCTGCGTGCAGACTTGCTCTGAGCAGACGGGATTCTAGTGACTGACCTGCCACCTTGGAAATAGTGTTGGGTCTAAGCCTTTCACCCCAAGAACATTCTACTGTCATTTCTTGGTCACACTGAATCCATAGTGAACTCGTCCAGGGCTGAAACCCACTGACAAGACACTAAGGAATGAAAACAGAACATTCTTGGGGTAAAAGGGTTCATACCTGGCTTTGTTCTCCAGGCAGTAAGGTTGAGCATTAGGATCCCATCTGCATCCAGCACCTGCAGGTCCATAATCCACCCCCACCTCTGCCTCCGCCCAGAGCACTGGGCAGGGCTCTTTATATAGTGACTCAGTCAGTAGTAGCCCCTTGCCTGCAGGTGTGGGAGCAGTAGCCCAGCAGCAGGCCAGTGACATCACCAAATAGTTCAGGGTCAGGTGAGGATCCTGGCCATAGGCACTTCCATTTTCCCTACAGGCTCCTAACTATTAAATGCTAGTTACTCTCAATGGCAAAGCAAAATACAAGTCAATAGTTAATCACATGCTAAAGAGCAGCAAATTTTTTGAAGTTGTTCTTGTAGGAGCTCTTGCTGTATAATTAAACAGAGGTTTTCTTTAAAAAGAAGAAGGAAGAGGAGAAGGGAGAGCAGGAGAAAGGGGAAGGAACAGAAGGACAATGCAGAGGAGAACCCCTTTAATTAAGGGCCAAACAGCCGATTCAAATTTAAAATTGAGGTCCATGTGCACTGTTTCTCAGAAACACCCATTTCTGGCATGTTCTAAGTTACATGCCATCTCTGGCTGAGAGTGATAGGCCTCGATAGGCCAAGACAAGAAAGACTGGTGATCAAATGCAAGTACACTTGGGCGAATTTCTCTAGTTTCAACCTACAACATGCAATTGGCTTAGGTTGACACTAAAAATCGCTTTCAAGGAACACAGTACAAAGATTGAGTTTCCTTGTTTTGCTGTCCATTCAAAAGAAAATGTTTGTAGAGATTTGACATCCTCTGACACAATTATATCAGTGGTAACACACATAATGTTCATTCAGTTTTACAAAGTCCATTTAATCAAAGCCACAGGTATATTCTGACCTTTAAGAGCCTGGAACTCAAAATAGTTGTTCCAACAGCAAGAAACACGATACACAAGCAATCTCTTTCCAAACATAAGCCTGCCCCGGTTACCTTTTGTATTTGGGGCTGACATAAGCAGTTTGCCTTGTCTGGACATTTTGAATCAATCGCCAGATGGAAATGGTGCTCTTGAGCCCATGCCTGTACGCCTTGCCCGCCGTGGCCAAAACCTTCGCACTTCCCAACAGCAGCTAAAACCTTCAGTTAATTTAAGTAGCTCCATCCTTGCCGAAACTCTGTCTGCAGAGCCAACTATGAATTGTGATGTGGGACCAGGGAGGTGAGAGCTGGGCCCTCAACTATCCAGCTCTTGGCAGTTTTAAAAACCAGTTTATAAGTTTGAAATCATCATGAAATCAGATTTAAAAATCTGACCTTGTGATGCCCAAGTTCATTCAAAATGGTTCCCAGTTTTCTGGGGCAGCAGTAGCTGGATGGAGGTCCCTCTAGTCCATGGATATGAGGCGATAGGAAAGGTGCTCCCCAGAGCGTGAGCGATTTACCACTGGGATCAAAACGACGTACTCCATGTCCATGGTGGGCCATGCTGACCTCAAGTTGGGTATCATCACATCTGGCCTGTAAAGAAAGGGACAGAAATGGACAAAACATATAATGAGGTAAAAAATGGTGGGTTGACCAAATGACAGTTCCAAGGCCAATTTTCTTATTCGTATCAAGCCTTCTCCTGTTTCAACACATGGCTAACTGTATGCATTCAATAAACCTCCTTTCCCCAGAAAGCATATAGCTAACAACTTCTGGATAAATGTAGAGAAGTTACCTGCTGACAAGTCACATGTTTGAACATGAGGAAGCCTATCAGATTAATTTTTTTAAAGATGTAACAATGAAACAAGACTACCCCAGACTCTTAGGCAGTTCTCCTGTGTCAGAAAATATGAAAACTATAAGCCGGGGGTCAATTCCTTTAAGGAGAGGAGCATTTACTGAGAAGGTAATTTGTTCTAATGGCTACAAAGCTGTGCATGTGGTTTGACTCAGAGATGATAGCTGTTTTCTGAGAAATGGAATGTACATCAAAACAGTCCATGTAAAGAAAAAAGACGAATGTGTGTGGTTCTACTCAGTTCACATCAACAGGAAGAAGAGATTATGAATTAATTGTACTTCCATAGGGAGCACATCACGTTGAATGTTCCCATACTTATACATTTTTAGTTTACTCAGAAATATGTCTTGTTTACTGGTGTAAGAGTCATCACTTTGATTAAAGCTGAATGATTAAATTTGAATGAAAAACATGACACTAACTGAGAGAGGTGCCTTTTTATTATTTTGCATACACTGATGCAGGGGTTTCAGATCGTAGCAAACTTCAGCACAGAAGGGCCGTCAAATCTGACAGGTGTGTTGAAGAAATGGGAAGGGGGGTTGGAGGGCTAACTCTCCAAAGGCTACAGAGGCACCGTCTTGGCCTCCTCTCCTGACGTCTCAGCGCAGGGCCGCTAGTGTGGCTGCGTGCTCTGTGCCCCGAACGGCTCCAGGGGGCACCGCTCACACCACAGTCACCACAAGGAGGACTCTCTAGCAGGTGGCAGTAAAGGTTCTTGAGGGAGGGGGTGCCTTTTCTCAAGCTGTGTAAGAAATGTGACCTTGGGACTAGACACAATGCTGGAAATCGCATGCCCTTTAACACTGCTGCAGAGTCGACAGGATGAATGTGGTGCTGTTTCAGGTCCCTGGTTATTCTTTTAAAAGTGTTCCTGAGTATTAAGGTGATGGTTCTGTTTGTCCCCCAGGAATCGAAAACTCAGAGCATAAACATAAGAAAAGATGCTCACAGTCATTAGCTGGTGGAGTGAAACAAATCAAAACCATAGGTACCACTTCAAACCCAGTAGGGCAGCTATGATCCAAAAGATGAATAACAGTGATGTCAGCAACGATGTGGAGAATGGGAAAACCTCACTCTCTGCTGGTGGGAGTAGAACATGGTGCACGCCCCAGAGAAATGAAAACATGTGTCCACACAAAATATTGTACACGATGTTCACAGCAATATTATTCATGGAAGCCAAGAAGTAGAAACAACCCGAATGCCCATAACTGATGAGTGGATAAACAACAGTGGTATATCCATACAGAGGAATATTATTCAGCAGTAAAAAGGAGTGAGATACTGATACACGCTACAGCACAGATGAACCTTGAAAACACTGCTAAATGAGAACAGCCAGTCATGAAGGTCACAGATTGCATGTTTCTGTTTATATGAAATGTCCAGAATAGGTGAATCTATAGAGACAGACAGTAGATTAGTGGTTGCCTAGAACTGGGGAGTGAAAGGGGGTAAGAGCGTTGGAGGGAGATTGGGAGTGACTGCTACTGGGCACAGAGCTTCTTGGTAGGGGTGATGGAAATGCTCTAGAAAATGGACTGTAGTGACCGAAAGCCATTGAATTGTGGTCTGTGAATTACAGCTCAACAAAGTTATTACAAAAATGAACAGAATGAAATCAAGTCAACCCAGATGCAGGGGAAGTTTTTAGTCTTCACCACTGCCACGGAAGAGTTGGAAGAAGACAGCTGTATTTTCCCCAGGAGCTCCCGTAGGCCCATTCCTCAGCCCTGCAGGACCAGAGAATCAGGTCAAATGATTACCTGGGATGATGCCTACTGGGTAATGGGATTATCTGTTACCTAACTGAAATGACTTGGTTAGATCTGTAAACTGCCAGCTACCAGAGGGGGAGAAATAGGTTCTCCAGAACACAAATAACACTGAAGAATGGATGGAAAATATTTTATAACTATTAATTTTTATTAAATACCATTGCACAAAATGCCAAGATTTCATCTAAAACATTATTTTCAACAGATATTGCCCCTGAGAGGGCAAAAATCGATTCTTGAGGGCAAAGAAACTTCATCTTTTTCCACACAAAGCACAGATACACACATTACAGAAACAAACATGCAGTGTATTCATGGCACTAACATTACATGGAGGAGGTGACCAGGAAAACAATGGCCCTCCCTCCCTCTCCCTCCAGGAAGGCCCCCCAACCCCCTCAGCTTGCCCGGAATGCTGGGGCTCAGCAGGGGTGCAGGGCTTCTGCTGCGGCCCTGGTCAGTCCACAGGCCGCCTGGATGTAGAGGCCCCACAACCCACCTGCCACCTGCCTGCCCCCCTGCCTCACAACCTCCCAGCACCCCTAAGTGCTGGGCACCCAGGGCCCACATTCCCTGCCCTGCGCCTCACCTCAGGGCCCCCATTTCCGGTCAGTCTCTTCCCTGGGCAGCAGCTGAGATGTTGTCAGCCAGCTGTTTACCTGCCCCCAGGCAAGCAGCTCACGTAGGAAGGGGGGTTCTTGCTCCCATCCTCAATCCTGAGTAACAGTGCAGTCAACATTACACCATCACCCAAAGCATCCATTTTTTTAGCCATAAGAGATTTTTTCTTTAGTTTCCAGTTTTCAATTAGGTATTTTCAGCATTTGAATCCTGCATTGGCCCTTAGAATCTATTCATTTCTGTTCCCCTTGGAATTTAACTGTTCGCATCTGCTCTTTACAAAGTTGGCTTTGAATAGTGAACATTGAACATTTAAATGAAAATAAGAAACTGCCTTTCTACATGTAATAATCTGCAGTCTTACGGGACTCTTATCTAATGGCTCTGAAGTAAAAGGAAAGCAAAAAGGAACTTAAAAAATTTCCCCCAGCACAGCTTTCCTAGTTTCATTTTATGCAGTTATATGCTTTAAATGAAACTATTCCAGGGTGTGAAATACTAGGTAAAATATAAAGGCACTCGGAGCAAGAAAATAGCACCATGCTGAGGTCTCTAATTTGCATGTGGTGCTATGCAATTATTTTTACGACCTACTTTCATACATTTTTTAGTATGATGTAAAATAAACGGTAGTGCCACAACTTCCCATCTTCCTCCAGTCTTGAAGCAAAGCTGGTGGGCTCCCGGAAAAAGAGCTCTGTTCTCACCGACCGGCTGAGCAGCCGATTTCCTAATCCTCAGCCTCCTGGTTTAAATCACAGCATAACCAGCTTCTCTGCCTCGACTCTTTACGTCAAGTGATTGCCTATGCAGCAAATGTATACTGAGTGCCTACTGTGTACTAAGCTCCACGGGTGTACACCACTGCTTTTCCCTTGACCCACGAGGAATGTTGCCATTGTGCAGAAACTCTGATTTGAACCTTCTGTTTTTACAAAAAAATCCACCAGGACCACAACTGAGAATTCTTGTTTGGGAAAGTCTGACAGCAGTGGTGACCCTGTAGGCACCAGCACCCTTGGGTGGGCCTCCACGTCACCCACATACTGCCCTAGCCCTTACCATTTAGGATTCCAGCTGGCAGTTGTCACTTATGCCCCTGAATATAAATTACAGAGGTGCTGAGACCTATTGGTTAACAACAAACATATGGCACTTGTTAGGGTCCCCAGTCCTTCTGCAGAGAGCTTCAGGGGGTCTTGCCTGGGACCCCAGCCATGCAGCTTCTACAAAAGTCTATGGAACAAGGTGTTCTGAACCAAAATAACTCTCTCCTGCCTTTTTTTGGAGACATATTATCATTTTGCAAGTTCAGGGCTGTTTATGTGAGCATCGGTGTATTTGAGATGGTCTCATTACTTTACATTCACCCTTTTACAAAACGCTGTCTAAATCCGTTTGCACATTTAGGTCATTTTCAGCCTGAATAACCGAATGCCAATGTTTCCCACAGTTTTGTCCAAAATCACATGCTTTTAAGAATTCCCTTTCCTTTCTTTTAAAGAATACACAGAAAAACGTGGCAAAAACATAAAGATCCAACAAGGGTCACTTGTCTCGGGTCACTCAGCGTGACTGTGAATAAAATGGCTAAGACGCTCCCTGGTTTTTTTCTAGGTGCATTTTAATATTCCTCTCTCTCCTTACAGTCAGGATGCTCTAATTCCAGCTGGGAATCATCGGCTTCACCAAGATCATCCCCACGCTGAAAACTGAAGTTACCAATTTACTAACAGCCACATGGGGCACATATAGCCACTTGAGGCCATCGCAAGGGCCACAGGCAGGTAACAGGCAGATGAGTCCAGAACGGGGGCACCTGCTACAGGCCGCGCCATTCCCAGCTCTGTGCTGCTGAAGGCGCTCCCGCCGCCTAAGTGTGTTTTCGTTTCCTTCTGCTGTAACGTTCCCACCCCAAGGAGCAGAGACTGCGCGGCTTGTCGCCGAGTTGATGACTTGGGTAGCCGGGCTGTCTGTGCCCATGTGACCGCACGCAGTCTGAAAGGAATTCACATCACATCAACGTGAATCATTGAAAGCATGGGATGGTGAACGGCAGGTAGGGGCTTAGTGCTTCCCTGGTCCCTGGGAACCGTCACAGGACAGCAACGTCCTTCACTGCCAACTACTCCCCTCCCCAGGGAAACCCAGGCCTGCAGGGATGTTGGAGGAATCCCAAGGGCCAGATGCCAAGTGACCTCGTGGAGGCTGTAGGCAGGTTGGAAGGAGATTGGGAGCTGCCCAGCCACAGGAAGAGGGAGGAGGCACAGCACGTCGGGGGGGGGAAGGTGGAGGGCGGAGGCTCAGGGAGGCCAGAGGGCGCTAGTCTGGGAGGTGGACAGAGGCCGGCGGAAGGCCGAGGCCCAGAAGGGCCAAAGCACAGAGGTCCGACTCGGCAGTGTTCCTGCAGGAGGGGTGAAACCCGACGGCGGGCACGGGTCCCCGAAGAACCCAAGACTGCCTGCCCTTCATCTCAGGCAGACGCGGTGGGGCCGCCCTGTCCGCACAGGCAGCAGGTACTGGCCACGGCGGACAGCTGCCCGGGGTCAAGGAAATCAAGTCACAGTCCCGCCGAGGGACGGGCCCTGGGAGGGAGGTTACTGCTCTGAGCGCGGGGAGCCCACGGGGAGAAGCCGCCCCCGAGCTGACAGAGCACTTCTGACTCACCCATCAAACTGGGAGAAGAAACCCCGCGGGGCTGCGCATCACGCAGAAGCGAGTCCCTCACTCCAAACGCGCATTCAGCTAATACGCCCCGAGAGGAACTGGGGCACGGAGCGCGCGCCCGACTGGTGGCACCCAAGGCCGCAAGCCCCCGGCCCGGGTATTTACCTGGCCACGCAGCCGCCGCCCTGACCCCCCGCACCCTCCCGGGTACCCTCCCCGGGCTCCCCGGCTCTGCCCACCCACCTCCGCACCCGCGCACGGTGTTTCCTTGCTTTAAGTCACTGGGAAACATGGCAGCAAACAAGTCACTTCTCAGGAAGATATTCTGGGCTTGCCCGACCGTTCCATTTACCTGATTTTCCAAATCTTTGATCTGAAAAGAACATGTCAGGTGGGGCCTCCCTTAGGCCTGGGCCGTCGGGGCGAACCGCCCGCCCAGCGACAGGCGCCTTCGGGCCGGGGTGGCGCGTTTCACAGGGAGGCCAGCAAGTGACACCCTCCGGGTTCACGCGTCACCCTCAGCCCGGTACTTCCTCCTTCCCTGCCCACAGCACTGCAGAGGGAAAAACAATGACAATAACAGAAAACGGAGCTGGGTCTTCTCCTGATCATCTCGCCCTGAACGCCTATTCAGCGGGCGCGTCCACACGCCGCGGAGGATTCACTCCCTGCGGGTTCCCCGCCGAGGAGCCCCCGCGCCCAGGAGCCGGTGCGGAGGGCGGCGCTGTCACCCGGCTGCTCCCCCTGCGGCGGGCTCAGCCCGGAGCTCGTGGCCCACCGCCCCTCGCCCCGAGACCCTCCACGGTGACCGGGGTCTGGACGGTCCCAGGCTCTGCGTTCGCTGAGTGACGGTGCCTGTAGCAGGCGCCCCCACAGGAAGCCTGGTTCCGGGGACTCGGGCCACCCCTGTGTTCCCTACGCTGTCCTTCATCCCTGCGACGAGTCTACCTGGGGGCTGGCAGTGGGCACCTCCTCGTCCCGTCCCTGCTTCCCCAGCGTGACCACCGGTCTGCTGTCGGGGCTTCTTGCCCCGGTTCCCTCCTCCCACTGCTGAGGCCTGACCCCCGCCTCTCCCGCTCTCACTGCTGGCCCACCAGCACCACGGGGACCCTGGACATACTTGAAATGCAGGTTTTGGGGGCCACTCCCTGTCTGCAAAATCGGAATCTTTGGGGCTGCTGCCTGGGGACACGCAGTTTCATAAGCGACCCAGGCGACTCCTCCCGCAAACCTTTCTAAAGCGCCCACCCCCACTCCCGGGGCCGGTCCAGCCGCCTCACTCCAGCCTCAGCAAAGCAAGGGAAGAGGCTGCACCCTTTAAAGTAGCAACGGCCTCCACCCCATCCCCCTCCAACAGACAGCCAGGGACGCGGGGCTGCAATAAGCTGGGCCCTGCGAGACTGCAGGCAGCCCCGGGCCTCCCCAGGCCTCCGAGGTTCGCTGCGGCTGCTCCCCCACTGCCGGCCTGCGGAGCAGCGTTTTATTGTATCAAAGGTACACCTTCAGCGTTTCTTCCTCCACAGATTGCATCCTGTACAGATCTGTTCCTACCAGACAGACATCTTTCCACTCAGTCTGTCTGCTACTGCCCCCCCTTTCCTCTTCTACCTCAAAAATAAACACAGGGGTCTTTCCATTTTTACCGTTCATTAGCCATTTCATTAAAAGACATTACCTTTTGAAACAACAAATACTTGGTAAAATTCAGCTCCTAAAAATTAATTAAATATTGATTTTCCAAGATTTCTCGTAAAGATTTACAGCCAGGCCTTCAATAAACTCTTGCAAGCAAGATAAGGTAACTCCTGCCTGAGCCGGAACTCTGGAAATCCTGTTGCCTTTCTTTCTTTCTCCGATTTCCCTTGTAATTTCAGCCCTATAAAGTGACTGAGCCCTGAACAAAGGAAAACAGACTCCAGAAAAACAGTGTTTTCTGAAATGCTTTTTAGTTATTTATCTTAAAAGAATCTAATTCATTTTCACTTCACTTTGAATCCCAAAAGCTTGAATAGCATTTCCGCCAACCCATAGGTAGAATCTGACAAAAGGGGCCTTAAAACTGGGGACTTTGGGCAAAAATCACTTCAATGATCAACTGCTTGTTTATGTAATGCTATTGTTTTGAAAGGTAAAACCTCAAAGAGTGTTTTTGTTGCTTATCCCAAAGCATGTGTGTGTGTGTGCACATTTGTGTGTGTGTGTGTGTGTGTAGCAGTAAATATAATAGAAAATCTTCTTATAAAATTGTGACGTCTGCATCTCCAGAACCTAGGGTTTTATGTTATTCATACAAATAGATAGATAGATGGGTAGATTAGATAGGTAGATGGGTGGATAGATAATGTTTTACAATGTATTTCTTCCTTTTAAAACAGCAACTGTTGCTTAGATTTTGTGGGGCAAGGCATGCTTCCCGGAGGCATATGGTTTGGGGGTTGCCATAAAAAGCTGGGTCTGGAGCCTTCCCTTAGAACAGAACACTGTGTTTATGACTTAACCATTTCTTGTTAGCAGCAGACAGTGTGTCCTCGAGTCCAGAACTCAGAGATGTAACCGTGGTCTTCCACATTAGAAACAACGCCTAATTAAACTGAGCTCATGTTCTGCACAATCCGCCCGAACACTGTACCCGGCGGTGTTTCATCAGAAAATGCGGGGTCCCAGTCAAGCTGTCTGGCTGCCTACTGGGCACAAGTCCAGGGGTGTGGCCCCAGTGCAGGCTAGAGCTGTACTGTCCCGAGCTCTAGGCTTTTTTTCCCGTGCCAGCCTGGCCTGTAGAAGCCCCGGCACCTCTCTGCATCTGCCTGCCGCTGGAGCGCACAGTTCTCCTGCACCCTGGCTGCTTGCCAGTGTGTGCAGGTGTTCAAGGCAGGTTTGATATCCAGGTCATGCCAGCCACAGAGCAGGTACTCAGCCAGTGTGTGCTGAGTTAAGGAATGAATAAATCAGCGGTGAATGTATCAGTTGCTGGGCCTTGCCGTAGAAGCTTGAATACAGATTTGACAGAAATGACTTCTTTTTTACCTTAAAAAGCAGCATAAGAGGGTGTGGGTTGAATTTGCTTTCATACCTTCAGAGAGTTTTTTTCCTTGTCCATTATGACTCACTGCTGTTAACGGTGAATAATTGTGACTCTAATATTCTCCCAGTTTTGTAGGCTTCCGTTGTCAAGACAGGTTCTAAATGAAGCGTATGCCCCCCAAAGCAGCCAAGAAGCTCTGCATTACAGAGAGAGGGAGCAATGGTTAGAAAAGATTCTGGCTAAGAAACAATTAGTGTTATCTCTGAGGCGCCTCCACCTGCTGGCTTCCAGGGACCCAGAAGTAGGGAAAAGCACAGGACCTTACCTGGGCATAATGACCCCTGACTACAAATGCACTGTGAGGTCTGCACCTGCCTTATCTTGGTTTTTCCAGAGGACAAAAATCCTAGTGAGGGTCAACAACTGAATCTCTATCATCACACTCACTAAGTGGGACAAATATTTCCATGTCCCTTTACTCATCTTTTCAACTCGTTTGTTAGCTGCTCAAGGGCAGAGACTGTATCCCAGGGCCTAGCACAGTTCCTGGCACATAGTAGGTACTCAAAAATACTTAATAACAATCCTACACAGTGCAACCTCACAAAACAGGGAGGGACCTCAGAAGCAACTTAATCGATCTCTTCCTGTTCAAGATCAGAACAGTGAGAACCAGGGAAGCAGAATTAATCACCCAGGGTCACATCAGATGACATCAGAGGGTGCTCTTTTTAAAAGAAATTTTCTTCTCTCAGCTCATAACTCGTGGGAAAAATCCAAGAGACGCTCAGTGACCCTTCCATGGCTCAAGGCTTCTTCTGAGTAAGTGGGCCTCTGGAAGTTAGGGGTGTCAGGCTGAAACCCTCAGGAGAGGGAATTTGGAGGCTTTCTCTTGGTCAGTTTCTTTTGGGGGGTGGAACCCGTAGTTCTCAAGTAAATTCCTAAATTTAACACCTCTCATATTTTTTCTTGGCATTTAAGGGCTTCTTAAAGTCACAGTGAAGAGTCCAGCTTCTTACCCCTCACAGAAAACCAAACCATTCAATTAAAATCACAGCATTTTAATTAAGTCTGTGTAAGTCCACCGAATGCATTTGCAACAGCAAAATAACATGAAATTACGTAAAATGCACCATCGACTTATCACCCTACTGCTCATGAGTAACCCCACAAGCTTTCACCCCCATGTCCAGGTGACAGATACTAAAATCACTGTTGTCTGCCTCTTATGAGGAAAGGGACATTCTTTCACCAGGACCGAGCCTCTGAGAGGTCTGCGAACACATTCCGTCTCCCGGATGAAAGATGGGCGGTGCTGCCAGCGAGGTTTCAGAGAAGTGGGGGGCGAAGGCCAGGGGGCTCCCCGGCGCCAGCCACTCCCTGGTGACCCGGGCACCTGCAGGCTCTCCGAGCTCCCGATTTACTAGCCCCTCGTTCAGGCCGTATTTTCCCCAGGCCTTGATTGCCTGGCTGTCTCTCTCTCCCCAGCATCAGGCTACTTGAGAACGGAACCTCCTGGCCCACGGGCCACATGCTCTGCCTCGTGGACTGTCTCTGCCTGCTGGGGGCAGGGACTGGGCCTGCGGACCCGGGCAGGAGCTGCCGTGGGGGAGCGGGGGGTGACTTCAGGTCCTGCCCTGGCCGCCCGCTGTCCATCCGCTTTCTGGCCCCCCTCAGCCATCTGCCAGGCGTCTGTGACAGGAGAGGGGGGAGGCGGGTCCCTCCAGACGTGAAGTGGGAACTGCGCCTCCAGATGGTGGCTGCCTGTGACACACTCGACCGCCTACTCACAGTCAAGAATCTGTTGTTTCAAATGGTTTTGCAGAGCAATTTTCTAAAGAGGATCTTTAAAACACGTTGATGACTCATTACATTGCAGGATGATGGCACGTCTGGAGGGGAGGCGATGCAGTGTCTCTGCCTCCAGGTGGGTGCAGGGACCCGAGCAGCAGGGCCTTGGGAACCGCGTCCCCATCAGGTCCCTCCCAGGACTCCTCAGAGTCCCCACCCCCTTACAGACAAGTCCTCCCCTGAGAGGGGCGACTGGGCCCTTGCAGGGCTCCAAACCCCCCTGCCCCTAAAACGTCCCCTGGGTGGTGCTGACACGTCTCAGGAATCTCAAGGCTTCATCCAGGGACTGAGCAGGGCCACCCCCTGCTGGAAGCCTCATCGCAAGGGGACCCTGTGGAAGGCGGAAACATGGGTGGGTGTGCGGGGATGGGGCGCTGGGCGCGGAGGCGGGAAGGACGCAGGCACATCCTCTGGTGGTGCGGCCGCGTCAGCCTGCAAAGCAAGCACGTCTGCACAGGGGGCAGGAGCCGGCTTGGAGCTGCTGCACGAGGCCACGTCAGCCACCCAGAGACAAGTGAGGCCCCAGGTTGGCAGGAGATTGCAAAGGCCCAGGGGTGTCTGACTCTTCCCATCAAAGGCAAACTCTGCCAGACCCCATGGGGCTCCCCCTCCCAGCTTTCTGTTACACGGGGCCACCCCCCACTTGGAGAAAAACGCCCCATCCACAGGGTTCCTGCAGCTCAGTACTTCGGACATCCGTGCCTCCCTAAGGGCTGGCCTTGCTGTTACGGCAGCACATGCCTGAAGTTCCAGAAGATGGAGAGGGGCAGCGCCACCCCGTGTCCCAGGGTGTTGGGGACCCCAGTGGAGCTGTCACCCCCAGGGCTGGCTCCCACCTTTCCGTGGACTTGAGGAGCCCCCATAGGCCAGTGGTCAGAGATGACCCTTTAGCAAGGGTGGTGGGGTGGATGAGGGGTTGGGAATGGCAGTGATTTGGAAGAAAAGTGGGGACCCCCCCAGTCCAAAGCAAGCACCAGTCATGAAGTCCTTGCTAGAGCTTGGAGCTCCCCACCTGGGTTGCCACCACCTGGAAGCCCCCCAAGAAGCTCACTGTGATTCCAAGGGGTGCAGGGGCTCAAGGGAAGTGGGGGTGGCAAGAGAGAAGCCCCAGCAGCTGGCAGGGCAATGTCCAGGATCAGGAAAGGTGTGGGTGTCTCGGCACAGGGGCTCCTACAGAGTACTGAGGACCTGCCTTAAGCCCCCTTTTATGGTGAGGAAGGTTCTGGGGACACGACAAAGGGACCATTCATGTGTATACGTGCTCTTCAGTCAGTACTGCTATGGTCTAAATGGGTGTGCCCCCTCCCGGATATTCATACTGAAAAACCCTAATGACCAAGCGGATGGTTTTAGGAGGTGGGGCTGCTGAGGTTGGGAGGGTGGAGCACCCTTACAGGAGACCCAGAGTCCCCAGCCCCTTCCACCCGCCATGTGAGGACGGGGCGAGAAGGGCCCGGCCAGAGGGCCTCGTCCAGAGCCCAGCCGTGCTGGCGCCCTGATCTTGGGCTTGCAGCCTCCGGAACCGGGACATTGATTTCTGTCCACCAGCCCTCCGGCCTGTGGTACTTTGTTATGGCAGCCCAGGCACAGACGGGAAGCTCCCTTCTGCAGGAAGCCCAGAGCTCCATTAGAGAGACACCTTAAACACAGAAGCACTCAATGTGGTAAAACTATAAAATTATTACTTGCAAGGCTTCACAAGCAGTATCCTTCTTGCAGTCTGATATTTCTCATTCCCAACTGAGTGTTGACCTGAACCAGAGGCTGAAAGTGAGAAATGTAAGCGAGGGTCCCGGGTGGAGATGTGGTAGAAACATGCAGCAGAGAGATGCCCTCACAGGCGCTCTGGCTGAACGCTTTGGTCGAGCTGTTTAAAAAACATTTCACATAAACTAATGCTCTTACTGGCAGTGTGACAGCAGTTGGTGATGATTTCCCCAAGGAAACCACTAGCTTTTATCATCCCTTTCAATTATCATTTGTCTTAATTCTCTAGTGCACACATCAATATTTGTCCTTAGAAAATCCTACAAATAGAATTCTCTAAGCACTTTAAAACACTAATGGCTGGTGTTTAATAGAACAAGACAAAAAAAATATTTTTCTTTAAAAGAAATTATCATTACTATGATTTTACCCCAAACAGTTCCCCAAATGCCAGGTATCTATCCTATTATCCAAGTGGCCAGAGCGACACTACCCTGTCACCTCCGGGAGGCAGGAGGTGGATTTCCGGTCCTGTTGGCCTCCCCGCTTCCTCCTCGGGTGGATAAAGGAGCCGCGTGAGCAGGTGGCGGAGGGACCTCAGTGCGGGGCTGGTCTGTCTATCCCCAGCAGGCTTGAGCTGAAATATCAAAGGGAGCACATGTGGCGGGTTGTCACAGAGAAGTGGCTGTGCTCCCGAGCCACCGCAGGGACTGGTGTCCCCCCACAACTGTCCAGTACAATCCATGGTCCTGCCCTCTGACCACCAGGCCTCGCCCACAAGGAGCCCTCACACGGACACGCATCCCAGGGGAGGTGGAGCCCAGATTTCTGAGGAAGGGAGTAGCCCCTCTTGTTTGCAAAGGCTTGTGTGGACTTCCTCCGGGAAGGGCTTCGGAGAGAGAGCTGGCTTCCTCTAAGGACAGGTAAACATTGTGATTAAGTAGGAAACATTTCCAGAACTTAAGATTAAGAACAGCAGAAGACTGTCACGACCAACTCGCTATGCCGGGGCTGCTCTGCAGACGTCTGAGGCTCTGTCCCCATGGGGTAAGACGTGATCTCAGGTCAGTCCTGGCTGCTGCACAGACGTAGTGGATTCTGGCTCAAAACGCTTGCAAGCATAGCCATGAGGCTTTTGGATATTTATATACTTTTGATTTCAGCATTAAATGTGTTTCTTGAAAGGATGAAAATTATTCTTTTGAGCCAAGGAAACTGAATTCCAATATTTACTATTAAAAGATAATGCAAAAAAAATGAAATCTTTTTAAAAAGTCTCTTGCCTGCCAGTGTACACTTATGCCCATAATAGAAATAGGTTAATTCAAGCCCATAAGCCCCAAGCAAAACCGGCTGCATTAAAAACATTATAGAAAAAGCAGACCCTCCCATGACCTAGAAAAGAGGGCCAGCGATTCTGGCTGTGCAAAAGCTTCCCTGGTCTCGGAGTTTGGGACAACAGCTCCCTTCCGCACAGGCAGTTTCCCCCACACCGCGAATGACCTCACACAGCATGAATGACCTCACGTAGCCTCCCCAGAAGTTGTCAAACAAAGAACACGTCACCACTCGTTATACAAATAAGTTTTGTGCAAGTGTTTTCTTTTTACTTTTTCTGTATGAAAAAATATAAAGTAAGCCGAAAGAAGACTCCCAGTGATCCACCCCTTCCGTGCTGCCGCTCTCTAGGGATGAAACTGTATGATGCGCAATTTAAATAATCAGTTTCTTTACTGTGGCACATTCCCACAGCTACTGAGGTTCTGAAAGGTTTTAGACCAGCCCTTTTCCACTGGGAGAGATGGCTAACCGTCGATTCTCTGCATCGCAGTTGTGTCCACGGAAAAGAACAAGGTTGTGAGTCTTTCACGCCAACTAAACTAAACACTGAGCATGTGTTGATGTTGGGGAAGCCGAAGCTCTCTGGGAGAAACAGACCCAAAACAAGCAAAATGCATCTATTTAGCAATTTTCCTGCAATTTTGTGCTAATTAAGAGCATCTGTTAGTGGGCAGGAATCGACGATTGAAGGAATTGTTTATTCCTTTCCAGAAGGAGAAGGGGGAGTGTGGGAGTTGTTGTGGGAAGGAGAGGACAGAAGGGTGGCTGGGCAGAGCCTGAACCCGGCGTGGCTGGGAGTGCGGAGCCTCCCCCCCACCCCTTGGCATCACCCTTAGATCGCAGTGGTTTTTAAGACGTCGGCTGAGTAGCGGCTGGACTCTGGAGAGCCTGGGTGGCAGCTCGTGTGCCTGCCCTCTGCACATACACGTGCTGGGCCTTGCTCCCAGCCTGCCCTCTTCTCAAAGAGCAGGGTCAGTTACACGTTTTGTAGTGACACTAAAAATTGAGGTACCCCATGCAGAAATGTCATTAAGGAAAAAGAATCTCAATTTCAGTTCTGGCTAGGAGGGTAAACACATCCCTCTGTGTTCTGCACTGAGTGCGGCCACAGCACCAGGACAGAACGCTGGGGCAGGGGACCCTGGGCATAAACACCAGGACAGAACGCTGGGGCAGGGGACCCTGGGCATAAACACCAGGACAGAACGCTGGGGCAGGGGACCCTGGGCATAAACACCAGGACAGAACACTGGGGCAGGGGGCCCTGGGGATAAACACCAGGACAGAAGGCTGGGGCAGGTGCTGAGGGGCTCCTCCTGCCCAGAGACTGGGGCAAATCCCCCACGCCCTGTCCTTTCCTCCCATTCTCCATCCCAGCACCCCAATCCCAGGCGATCCCACTGCAGTGAAGGAAACCACGGTGGGTTATGGCACCTAAAACTGAGGAAAAGGAAGCTTCCCGTGTGATGGAGGCTGTGGCCCCCAAGTGTGGGTGAACCCCTGTGAGCTCTTTCTGCCTGGGATTGGACACAGCCCAGGAAGGACATGGCAAAGCATAAGCAGAGCAGGGGAAACGAAGGTGCAAACTTCCTGGCCCGAGGCGCAGAAACCGCAGGGAACTGGGTACCGCTGGGGACCTCGGGGGGAAGGAAGCCACCCCACAAAGTGGTCATGAAGTCCCGGGCTCACACCGCATGTGCTCACAGCTGACCCTGCTCATGGCATCAAAGACTTTGAGAGCCGTGCCCACAGACGGCCCTTCACTGGGTCCCAGACTGGCCCCTGGGCGGCTTGCAGGTGGGACAGATCTGGAAAATGCTACAAGGGCTCGGAAAACAGAACCGAGGGTGAACGCCACGATCCATGGGAGGCTGGTGGCACTTGGGGCCCGAACCCACCCCAACTGCCTGTGAGAACAAATGCATAATGTCATCTGTAAGACCGGAACACAACTCGGAGTCTCACGGTGTGTAAATGGCCAGCAGGTGCTCGAAACCATTCAGCATGTGAGGAATCAGGAAAATTCCAGCTGTGCGGGGAGGAGACAAGAGATGCCAGTGCTGGCACGATGCAGATGTTGGAATCATTTGACAAAAACGTAAAAGCAACTGTTGCAGAAATACTCTGAGAAGTAAGAGCATCCGCTCTCAAAACCAGTGAAAGGAAGTGTGAACAGCAGAATCGGATCTACAAAGAGTCAAACGGAAATTTTAGAACTGAAAAATGCAATGACCAAAACGAAATCCCAGCGGATGGGCTCACAGCGGGCAGGACACCAGGCAGAGCCCGGGAGCTCGAAGACAGATGCACAGAGGGCATGCAATCTGAGGGGCAGAGAGGGGAGTGATGGGGAGAAGGACAGGCCTCAGGGGCCCGCGGGGTGGCACCACGAGCCTGACGCTCGGTCACTGGAACCCCAGGGGAGGAGGAGAAAGAATGGGGTGCAGAAAACAATATTTAAAGATATGATGGCTGAAAGATTCCCAGATTTGACAACAGACATGAACTAAAGACTCAAGAAGCTCAGCAAACCCCAGCGGGAAAGACCCCAGAGCTGCTCACCTGTACGTGCTACCACCAAACTGCTGGAACCAAGACAAACACAGCAGCAAGCCGACCCCATCAGCCTTGTGATGGACTCAGGAGCGGGCCTGGGTCAGAATGGCTTGGGGGACAGGCCTGGCCAGCCCTCTGCACAGGGACCCTGGGCCTGAGGTCCCCTCCCGGCGAGGCCCAGGCCCGTCTCTCCACGTCCATCTGCTGAACGTCTGCGACACTCAAACCTAAATCCAGCGTTTGGGTCCCCGCCAGTCTGTGCCTCCGTGTCACCACACAGGGGGCGGGCTGGGTGGCCAAGGGGACCAGAAATCCAACCAGCTCTGACAAGAAGTGCCCCATGATTCAGCTAGGCCCTGGCAACTTCTAGGAAGGAAGGAAAAAGAAAAAAGCACGAGGCAGAATCAACTCTCAGCTGCAGATTCACCCTCCCTGTCATCCTGGGGAGTTGGACGGAAATGCCAAACAACTCTGGGCTGTTTTTCAAATGACATCTTTAGGTTTACCGTGTTTTCTGTGTGTCAAAATAGTTCAAGTCTGGGCGAGACTGAAAGGCAGAAAGGGGTGGCTAAGAGAATAACGCATCATATACTGTCTGCTCTTGTCACAGGCGGCAGGAAGAGCGGCCAGACTCCAAGGGGGCCCGGGGAGACGCTGAGGTTTCCACGGTGTAGAGACCACACGGCGTCGCCGTGCATAGTAGGCACTTAAATGTCGGTCCTGTGACTCACCAGCCAGGGAAGGCGAGACTCGCTTGCCTTGGTCTGAGCATAGACAGGGCTTGCCCAAAGAAACAAAGAGGGATTTAGCAACAGCACTGGCCAGATTTTTAAGGATTCTGTCTCTTTCTCACACACACACACACATCAGGCACCCAGACTTCCTGGGACTCACAATCCTAGAAGCTTATCATCATCTGTGTCAATGTCAGTCTGCTAGGAGTTCAGGGACTCACTTCAGTCAGAAAACTCCAGGCAGCTGCCACCTTCGCTCAATGCTGGTCAGTTCCTGAGACATCAGCCTCTCAGGACGGGGGCCTGCAAAGCCCTATGACCAACCACAAGGGTCCTTGGGTCCTAAGTAGCTGCCACAGCTGATGGAGAAGTGCAGTCATCAGGGGGTGGGGAGGACAGAAGAGCCACAGGGCAGAGGGAGAGGCGCCGAGAAGGGAACAGGTTGGGGGGAGGGGCGTGAGAGCAAAGAGGGTTTGCCCCCCAGGTGCCTGCATAGCCATCTCCACACCCCACAAGTTCACCTGGGACCCGGGTTCTCCATAAGGGGTACCCAGGGCCTCTTTGAGGGCTCTCAGCCCACATCAGTCCCCTAGCCTTGTGCCAATCCCCCCCCCAGTTCCCGCACTGTGACCCCGAGGGTGCCCCACTAGCCTCTGGTGAGGCTCTGGCACAGTGCCAGACAGAAAGCCTGCCGATGGTAAGGCTCAGGGCTGCGGAGCACTGTTCTAGTGTTTGAGGTCTAGATTCTAAACAAGACATGACTTCTATCACCAAAAATAATAAAATGTACCACTCGGAGCCACCGAGGGCAGGGGAGCAGGATTATGGCAGAAAGAATGCCTCCCGGAGGCCTCCATGAGCATCTGAAACACAGCGGCAACCACCCTGCAGGCTGGCACGGGGCCTGGCACCTGGGTGGGAGGCAGTGTCCCCAGAAATCCAGATGCGGGGTGGTGCATGATGGCCCCTTTGAGAAAGGGCGTAGCCCAACGTGAGGGGCTGTGTCGTGAGCAGGACGCCTGGGTGGGGAGCAAAGCCATGCACACCACCTGCCGCTGACCCAGGGCATCATGGACTCCCGCCAGCCCTCTGCAGATTTGCCTGTGGTCACACAGCCATGCAGCATGTGTTTGGAGCTGTGCCCGTCTCAGTTTCAGGCGTACGTTCATCCCTCAGGGACTAACTCTTGTCACCTGCATGCTGTCCATGTTTCACTGTGTCCACTTGGCCTCTCTGGCCCTTTAGATTGTGATGCAGTGTTTGGCAGCCTGCGTGAGTGCTGGCGACTACAGATAAGGCTCTGGCTCTGGGACATTTCTTGCATGACTCTGTATTTCTAGAGTACTTTTCTGTCTGAATGCACTGTAAGTTACAGTGCCTGATAAGTAGAAGCAGCCCAATAAATATTCTTTTCTCGTAGGTGGGAAGCTTCCAGCGGCATAAAACAGGGCAGAGAGCTGGCGGGGCAACTCTGGAACCAAAAGCACTTAAGCCTCAAACCTAAATGGAAGGAAAGATCTACGGTCTTCATGAGTAAGTGGCCCCGCTCAGGGACACGAAGAGCTGCCGAAGGAAGCAGCCCTCTCAGAGGCCAGTTATCGGGCCTGCAGCCCTGTGACTCTCCGGACTGCGTTCTTTGGTGAGCAAGGGTGAGACTCTCCAGGTTTGGTGTCGAGGCAGCCCTGGGGCAGCTGACCTTGGCCCAGTCCCTTTTCCCCACTTCATTCTGGAAATAGCAAGACTAAGGGGACAAACTGTGCAAATAAATATAGCAGACCTACGCTGATGACAATTTTGACCATATTTTTTAATAATATGAGAAAGAAAAACAAAGTTCCTCCCCCAGAGAAGAGCTTAAAAAACAGGTCATAGAATCCAGAAGACAGAAACTATTTCTAGCTTTAAATTTTACTTATTTACTTACACTGTATTCAAAGAGACCTTAAGGATGATTTACACCAACTCCTTTATATTGTAAGTGAAGGAAACCAAGCTCAGAGAGGTGAGATGACATCCCGAGGTCCCCCAGGAGGAGGCAGGGCTGTGACTTGGACCCAGACCTCAACACCGCCAGCCCCACACTTGCTCTGCTACGCCGTGCTGCCTGCATCCAGGGTCTGAGTTTGATGTTCCCTGTAGCAAGTTTTTCTGTTAATACAGATATTACATGCCCAATAGCAGCTTCAAAAAGGGATTCCAAATTTAAAACCATAACGGCTGCCTTGCAGAGACACACGCATGTGTGCAGTGAGCAACACATTTACAGAGCTCTTCATCCACAGATGTGGGGCACGCTAAAAAGGCCACCAGTGGCTCTGAAATGTCATGGTGATGAATCTCAGTGAGTTAAGGAGGAGAGCTAGCATGTTCCAGGGAAAGGATTCGGGCAGACCTTTCTGATGAATGACCCCAAGAAGCTGAGATCTTGCCTCTCGCCAACCTCCCAGCCCATACTGGACATGTGGCATGAGTGAGAGATAAAAGTTTGTATTTTAGTCCACTGAAATATGGAGGATGTTTGTTACTGCCGCATAACCTAGCCTGTCCTGACTGATACAGGTATGATACAGGTACCTAAGGGGCACTGGGTAAAAGCAGGCTATCATTATCACGAATGCACCCCATAGAGCCTTCCCAGTGCCGCACCACCAGAGACTGAATGGGAGGCAAGGAGACCATCAGTCTTATGGTGATTCTCAGAAAGGGGAAGAAAGGATGCAACCAAAGACAAGCCGCTGCCCAGAGAAGATGCGGAGGAGGCGGGAAGTGCTCCGGAAGGACTGCAAGGACATCCGGTCAGGAGCAAAGCCTGCTCTCGGCTCTGCTTCCCCGGCCCCAGCGTGCCATGCCGGCCTCCTCCCTGCCACCCGGAGTTCTCTCGCTCATTCACCAGTCAGCTCTGATTCCACTTACTCTTCAGGGTCTGGTTTTAGCCCCACGGACTTCCCCCAAATGTCCTAGTCACTCAAGCCTCTACCGTGTGCAAAACAGACCATGTGAAGCAGGCACCCCCTCGGTGCTTGCCTGTACTTCTCCCTGCGAGCTTCGGCGTCTCATTCAGTGTGTTTCAAGAGGACCAGGCCTGTTTCTCTGACCAGACCACGTGCCTTGTGAGGACACCGCGTGTTTCACTGCTTTAACTTTCCCCCCTAAGAAGGATTCCAAGGCACATTTTTACATTTATTTAAATGCCACAGAAGAATGAACATGATATAATTTTTCAGATTGAGGACGATTTTGTTAGTACTTTGGAAGTAAGTAGGGAAATTCAATAGTTGGACTTTTAGAGTAATACCTTATTCCAGCTAAATAGAAATACTATTTATTTATGTAGGTGGAAATAAACAATTATAAACCTTCGATGTCCTTGATACAGTGTTACTCTTATTAAAGCAACAGGTCACAAGTAGTTTAGCAAGAACCCTGAGACAAACTGGGAGAAAGCACTGTTGAGAATTTAAAACATTTCACTAAAAATTAACGTTTGTTTTGATAGGTAAGATTAATACATATTTACATACCAACTTTTAAATGTAAGCTAAATCTGTATGTATCCTAGCCCTTGAAACCCTAAAGTTAAGCTTTATCCATATCTATTTGTTGGGAAGATCACAGAGCTTTTCTATTACATAGAAAGTTCATTTTTATAATTCCAAAGACCACTGACTTGTAACCTTGACACTGTAAATATTTGCCACTACAAATTTTAAGTGCAAAAAGCTGCGTTGTTCAGGCGAAGGTGAATGCTGTTTGTCTCGGGGGGGATGACCTTTGATCCTAACTGCTCCGATCTAGTTCTAACCGTCGCACCTTAAACAATGCCCTGCTCTGCAGGTTCTCTGGAAGGTATAAAGGCCTCCCTCCTTGCAGGGATTTATCTTTCAGATGTAAAGTGACTTCAGCGCTTTGAAACACAGGGCACAGCACACACGCCTCACGGTGGGAGTGCTCTGCGCCTGCGTCCCCAGAAGCGATGCGTGGGGGTCCCTGGCGCTCAGCACCTTCCCTGCCCGCGCCCTCCCGCTGCTCCCAAACCGAGCCGAGCCGGTTTGTTGCCAAGTCAGTTTTCATCAGTTGTGCGAGTTATTGAAATTACAAAATTTAATTAAAATTTAGGTAAACGGAGAAAGTCTGTGCACAGAAAGAAATGGCGTCTCTTTCCTGTAGAAACCAAGTCAGTAAGCGCTGGTTACCATTCTTAAGGGCTGCTGTGTTGGGGTGCAGGCAGTGACTGTAAAACGGAGTAACAAAGCACTGAAGTCTAGAACATTCCCCCGCAGATGCCTCACAAGGGTCACGCTTTTGTTCTACTTCAGAGAAACCCCAAATTGGACAGGATAAGGCCGTTAAGATGGGCGTTTGCAAGAAAGACCAGAAGCCCAGCCAGCGGCCATACTCACAACAGAAGGCTGGCAAGTGGATGTACGTGCGTGCGTTTAAGTTGAACTACACTGTGTGTGCACTTTTTGCTAATCCCTGTTGTAGCTACCTTCTATATAACTGACCAATTACTGCAAATTGGTGAGTTTGGTTATGAGGCTTCTACTCAACTTGCTAATTAAATGGTTGTGAAGACTCCACAAGCGCGTAATTAGAGACGGTGCACCGACATGATCAGCTTGGGAGGATGCCAGACTAACGCCAGCGCGCAGAGCAGCGTGAGCCCGAAGCGGGAGGCTGGGGGGGGGGGGGGGGGGGGGGGGGGGGGGGGGGGGGGGGGGGGGGGGTGGGGGAGGGGGGGGGGGGGGGGAGGAGATGGTGGGGGGGGGGGGGGGGGGCGCAGGAGAGTGACGGGGTGACCCAGAAATCTGCCTCTGTTGATTTCTCAAGAAGCTATGAAATTTCGCCCCCTTTGAAAATTCTTTTAGCATTCAACATTTTCACAGCACAGAATAAGCACTTATTTACAGATGAAGCGACATGAAAGTCAAGAGCAGGGAGGAGCCACGGGCAACAATCCTGGAAGCAGAACAGGGCCCCTCTTCCAGGCACAGCTCAAGGAGACCCAGGGGAGCGGGCAGGCCGGCGGCAGGGCCGCCCATCGCAGCGCCCGGCCGGCCTGGGCTGGCCCGACTCCACAGGCTGCTGCCAGGCCCCGGGC